AACAGATTGACTCTCTCGCTCTCTAGGACTTTCTTTCTGCATTAGCCTGCAATAGCTCCTCAAAGGTAGGTGTAAAAGATTTCATTAGAATTATTTGATTAAAAGATAGACTGAATAATCTTGCTTTTCATTACATCCTATTGCTGATAACACATCATTGATCAGCAATATGTTTGCAACAATAGATTGATAAGCAATGGAGGAAATGTCATATCTTCAGTAGAAGAATACAACCTAGAGCAGTTGAGAATAATGGTATGTGGTAAGTTATCTTAAAAAGGATTTAGAGTTCCACTTGGAATATGTGGAAGGCAGTTAGAATAATGATGTATTTGATGATTTCAATGATATTTTGTTATGAGATTGTTCTCTGGTCATCTTAGATAGAATGATTTATAGTTCAGGCGGCAGTGAACTTCTAGCCTCAGATGGATAAATAAGATCCAATATGGGTAGAGTGTATATCTGCCAGCAAACAAGCTTTATTTCCTTTAATTATAAATAGCAGACGGATGTTCTCTAACAAAAATCTTTCAGTTATCAATTCATCTATTTGTTAACTTCTAAGATAAATTTTTAACCATCTTATCATTAGTGATTTTGGATTTTAATACAAAAACTCATGAACGAAAAAGATTAAAACTCAATTTCCAAAGCTTACAACTTGCCAGAAATGTCTTGCCACACACCTTCATCTTTGAAACCATTGCCCAGATCACCACTTTTTTAGCACCATGACTGTACATGCCAAGGACCATATATGATTACCATCCTATTCACTGCTACCAGAAGAAATGGCACCACCAACAGCGCTTATTCTTCATCATCTACTCTACAACTGGGTTAGCTGCTTGACTTGTGTCCCTAGTTATTCCACCTTAGGTTTTTCTCCATCATGTCAACCATTATTAATAGGGTGATATTCCAAATAGAGCAGGAAGGCTTAGAAGAACAAGGACTTAGGAGATAAAGACTTAACCAAGTCACATGTGATGCTGCAGCTATTACTCATATACTGCTTATCAAACGGTAAGCTTGCTATCAATATGAAAAGACACACTGGTAGATGGGGAAACAAAAGGTAGAGAGCGTTGGAAATAGAAGAGAAGTTATGTTTTGAGATAAACAGGCTGCATTTGAGATGAGAACAGACAGGCTAATCATCATGAGATTTGAAGTTTCAGTTTTTTATTACATTTCAGAGAAGCGAGTAAAGGATTACTGAATCAGTAAATTATGAGATACAGAAGATAACTAAATAGCAGTAAGGAGTACCTGAATTTTCTCTGCAAGTATGTTAAGCCCATAAATTTCTGCAGCTCGAGCACTTGCCACAACACCAGCATCTCTCAAGCCATTTGAGGCTAAATTCTAAACCAAAGTTAAATGAGTTAGATTAAGAATACAGGTATCATTCTATAGGAAAGCAAAAAATGGTGGCGAAATCACCATAGCGGCACCAGCTGTATCATCAACATTTTCCCTGGCAACCCCCAACTTACTGAGGAATTTATCACTAAACTCAAGTGCCTGCAGCATGGAATTGTAAAAATTAAATTATGAGTTCCAATGAAACCAAGACCCTCAATATTATAGGGAAAGAAAAAAAAAAAACAGTTCCCATCATCTAAATACCTATGTACACAAGATAAAAAATGTATATAACTCTGCCATGGTCAAGAAAATGGAAGTAAAGGGTAGATGGGCCAGACCTCCAAATTACCAGCAGGTACATGGATATTCCCAGGCATTCTTGTTATTTCTCTTTCTACATTTACCCCAGCCCTAGAACTTAAACATTCATTAACTAATTTTTTGGCATAAAAAGATCTTGATATAAGTTTTAGAAATAATGATTAAATTAAAGTTCTTTGTTTGGCTCTAATTTCAATTAGATGCATGACTCACTATTAGTTACAAACAATTATGGTCATTTCACTATGGGTGAGAATGCATATGCATCAAGTAACCACAGTTGAAAATTTGTTTGTCTAACATTTTCCTATATATCATGTACCAGTTTATGACAATGAGTAACAATGCTGCAGATGCAGAGAGCTTTCAGTTCTGATGAGATACATGATATGAATTCAATGATATACATATTAAACACATCTGTAAAGAGAAGCTATCACCAAAATCCAGAGGTTCAGAACTTCTGTCTCTAGAGATGTACACTTTCAGGACTTATCTATGGAGAAATTAGTCCATTATCACTTATTCCAGTGAAAAATGGTACTCAATTTCACTTAGTGTTCCATGAACCAGGTTACAGTGCAATTTGAAACTATCAAATATTCAACCTCAAGAGCTTTTGCTGCCAGATAAATTAACACTTATAGTGCATGAACTAGCTACTCTATAACTTTTTATGCAACAAAATAAATTATCGAATAAATTATTGATCCTTTCTTATAAGAGCGAACAATCAAAAGATGAGAATCAGGAAACAAATGGTTGACCTGGGGATGGCTTATAACACGTTTCAACTGCTCTATTCTGACACCTGGAAGAGCTAGAAGACAGAAGTTAACAGCCAACTGCACCTCACCCACAATATGGAGCCTATGACGGAGAAGCAAGTCATAGTTCCGATGAATGCTTCCACCTGAAGTATTTTCAATGGGAAGAACTGCTTTATCAGCCAGCCATAACTCAACAGCCTGCCAACAGAATACAAGAATAATGAAATTAACAACAAGCCTATGTCAAGGTAAAAAGTAGTAACCAATACTACGGTGATGAGTTTGTTCTCTTTCTCCTTTTCTTCTTAAAAAGAATGATGGTTCTGTTTTGTTGACTAGATTTATATGGACAAGTCAAAGTGGAACATGGTAGCATATCAAAGTTCTAAATAGTGCCTAATTCCTGCATGTAGATTAGATATTATACTGAACCTTGAATGCATCCTCAAACTCATTACATGGCACAGTCTCACAATTAGGATAGGCTTTGAGTGCAGCAGCCTCACTGTATGAGCCTAATATGCCCTGCAAAATCGGTTTAGAGCCAAAAGGAAATTATATGGTGAATGAGTTAGTAGCTACTAACAATTCTATTTAGATCTCTTTTTATCTTGTACAAACTAGAAACTGCTGACCATACCTTAAATGATATCCGCACCTTTGAATTACAATCAGCAGCAGCAGATAAATCTGCCACAGATAGTGGTTCTGCAACGTCGACAGGCAGTAAGAAACTAATTCCACCAAGAAACAGTTATATCTAACAACAATATAAAGCAGCATTTAGTGAAATATTTTAAACAACTCTCGCACTCCACTCAGATCTTAAGAAGAATGATGGAAGAAAAGTAAACTACTTTTTGTAAGAAAATTTCCTTGAATGGTACTTTACCTTTTGAAATTCAAAGTGATGAAAATTAAAAAAGTAGAGAGATTTTCTGGAGAGATGCAGAATTGTAATATCACTTCTCACTCATACTGATTCCTTCACTCATAGAGATTCACTTGGCAGCCATATTGTTACATATCAAATTGTAATAAGGATTGGATTATGCATGATTCTTGTCATATGATTGGTTAAGCTTTTCTGTTCAACTTACTTATTTAATATGGTGTTGGACACAAAAATCTAGCGTTCAATCAGTTGCAGCCTTATTTATGCAAATCAAAACCCAGTACAAAATATGATGGCTAGGTGGCTCATTCACACTACAGCCTAGCAGCCTTACTAGTAAGAGCATTCATATATAAACACTAGATGTTCATTTACTATCAGCTTAAACATTTGGGTAAATTCATCCTCAATCAATTATTTCATAAAGATCCATCATTGTCATTGGTAGAAACTCTACAAAACCTCCAAGATGCTTCCAGTTCCAGGATAAAATCCTCAGTTTGGGGAACGGTTGGGTTTTTACGGATGATATTTAACAAGTACAGACTGAAAAAAACGTGAAAAACATACCGTCCATTGGAGTCAGTCTTTCCCAAAATGAGTAAAAGCTAGAAATAAAATACATTATCAGATAAAAGAAAAAAAAAGACAGATCTAGATATGCTAATGTCAGCTCGCTCTGCATGAATCCATTAAGGGACTTTCATGGGCTAATAAACTAAAAAGATTGTAAATTTCACTAAACAGAATTCGATTTAAAAAGAATACAATACACAACCAAATATTTTAAAATTAAACAGCAACAAAACACGCTCAAAACAAAAACCCAACCACATCATTAAAATAATTAACAAACAAACGAATGGAGACAAGAAACGAGATAAAACCCACTCGGTAAAGAGCTCGAATCCTTATTCCTGGAAACATCACCCTCTTTCTGATCAGCGACTCGCCCAATTACGATGGCTGGCTGCTTCTGTTGGGAACCAGATAGATTCGAAAACCCACCGGAGCACGCCCATTTACGAATCCGGACCAAATTCCCGACTCGAATAGCCCCCAATTCAGATTCTCGCTTATACCCAGAATCAACCCAGCCGAGGATAGTAGCAGAATTCAACGCCATTGAAACAGTCATAACGTACAAATCCAATATTTGTGTCAAAAAGCGGTCGGTCCAAGCTGGAAATTCCACAAGTTGAAAAGGATTATGAAAAAGGCGCGGACGAAGCACGAGATTGGTACTCGTTAGTGGTGAAAGTGTTCGTTGGAGAATTTTATCGAGCACGTGAAGCACGATATCGCGAAACAGGTGAGGAAGGAGTAACTTGTAGTCCTTTGTCGCTGTGGTGGGAAGGAACACGTTTGGAGAAAATAAAAGAGTATTATTTATGGAATATATATATTTATATTTATGGTTGGAAGAAAAACCATTATTTTACCAATTAAGAAGAAATAGTTTATGTATCTTAAACATGTATATATATATATATATATATATACACACACATACATATTTGTTGAATAAGTAATAAATGATTCATTCTAAATTTTATGTTTAATGTAAGTACAAATTTTGAAACCAAATAATTAATTATTTCAAACACGCCCTTTATTTTTATTTTCACAAACCCAACCTATCAACCTAATTACCATTTCTATATATTTATTAATGATGAGTTGCCATCACGTTGAATATTTCTAAATATTCATGCGGAAGAATTGTGTAATTGTTTTTGGATAATTTCATATATTATCTTTTTAAAATTGAAAGAGAACTTACTTATCATAATTCACTCTATCCAAAAAATCGTGTAAGAAAACTACATATCACAAAACTAGATTGTTAAAGTAATATTAGTATTCAGGTGCTCAAGTACATAAATAATACTTAATAATATTAACTCACCCAAATATTATATCTTCTAATACTTAACATTATATAATTACTAAATATTTATCATATTGTATATGATGTTACTTAATCATCATACATCTACGAGATTATATTTAATTATAATTACTTATTTAGTAATTTAAAAATTAGTATATCTAATTAAATGATAAGATGATTATTAAATATTTTATTATTATTTAACGGTATAGTATGACTAAATAATACTTAATATTATTAGATAATCTACCAATTATTACTTAATATTATTGGCTTTTGGGGACCCCACAAAATAGTAACTTACATTACTGCCTTAAAAACATACATTTTTACTGCCACTACTTTCACGAGATCATTATAAATATTTATGTAATAAAAGGTTAATTATAAATAACCCAAAAGATATTTTACAAACAAAATTTTTGTGTGATTTCAATAAGAATAAAAGCAACAAGAAAGCTCCTTGCTACCAACTCACCAATGGGCTACAAATTTTGGCATCATAAAAATTTATTTATCATTTTTTTTTTGGTCATGTTTCCAAAATTTGATAATTTTATAACTTTGTATCTTGTATATATATATATATATTGTATATACATATATATGGATGATATATAGTGGGTCGTGAAGTACTTGGGGGGATGATATGGAAGGTAGTTTGAAGAGGTGGTGGCGTCCACATAACATTAAATGTAAGGAAGAGCGTAGAAAATGTGAATTGAAAGTTGATGCGTACTCAACTTGACAAGCCGCTCAGGCGTTACACAAAAACACAAAAACATCTCTCCTTCCTTGGCTTCCCCTTACGTACCAACTGACACTCTATTTATTATCACCACATCACCCTCATCAAAACCCATAAATTTCTTCTACCATTATACTTATATATACATATCTACACACACACACACCCCCCATCAGAACCCATCATGGAAAAGCTATGTGGGTATCTGCAAATCTTCTCTTTCTCTGCCATTTCTCTTTCTCTGGGGAAGAGGATGAAGCACCGCGACAGACAGCAGGAGTAGCGGCAGAACTAAAAATCGAATGGTAGTGAAGGTATTGGCGTGGCTCAATTTGACAGCATGGTTAGATTGGGTTAACATTAGCCATGTTTTCTGATTGAGCCGCGTCAATATCTCCTTCCCCCCCATCTCCTTTCCAGGTACCCATACACACACAGACACATACATATATACACATCCTTACTTTCATCCATTATTCACACTACCCTTCTCGTATTTTCTATATATATATATATATATATATATATATGCGTTTATGTGCGTGAGTTTTAGGCAAATATCAGGTAACAAGTACCTTTTTTATTCAGGGAAGATTTGCCCATGACGAAAATACACATGCATAATGATATGATCCTTACAATATTAGTCCATATATAGATAGCCATAAGATATTGTGGAATGGCCCCTTTCCACCCTGAAAATGGATATTCATTCTGGGTCTAATTGGATTTTCTTTAGTTATACTTGAAGGCAGCCAGCTAAGCCTTTCTTGTTTCCTGATCCAAAACCCTTGAATGAAACCGGTCGTCTAAAATTTTTGGCTCCTTCATTAGGGTTTTTAACTGCAGTTATTTTGTATATAGTTTGGGGGTGAGATCACGATTAAGGTAGGAGATCATAAGGGGAAACAGAATTATCCACAAGGGTTTTTCTTTTTATTCCAGAAGAAAATAAGAACAAAAGAAGTAATAAATGAAGAAAATGTTAAAAAGGTCAAAAAATAAGACGATCTTAATGAGAGTGGCCACGAATGGGAATCGTCCAAACTACAACGCCTAGGTGTTATGGCGGGAACCATAATTGCAGCTTTGAGTGGGTCCCGTTGGGTCTTTATTTTAATAAGAAGTTTTTTGAGGGGTAAAATATTAATTTAAACAAAATAATTATCGGAATTAATTTCGTGACAGAAGCATCAATCAATGCATCACGCCGGGTGAGACTAAAACGACCCCTCAGACAGACAGCCTTGAGAAAAATATAATAAAATTATTAAATATTTTTATTAGTATAAAATCTATATTGTTTAGAATCAACAAATTTTCAAATCATTTATTTGAAAAAAATAAAATTCGATAGGAATTTTGTAAATATTTAATTAAAAATAAAAAGTCCAAAATAATAATAATAATTATTTTTTTTTTAACAAAAACTCCAAATTATTTATTTGAAACTTATCCTTTTTCATCATAGATGATCGGGGAGATATAACCCAGTTGGTAAAATTCAACTTTTGTAATTGGGTTGTTACGATTATAAATTGGGTATTTATTATTTACACATATTTTATATTTTAATTTTAAAAAATTTATATAATATATTTAAATAATTTTTTATTGAATTAAATGATTTTCAAGAACAATAATTTATGATCACATCATCGAGAAAAATATATCAACAACAACTAATTTTTTTGTGTAACAATTCATGATGTTCATTTTGATCTATTATGTAAATTTAATTTATTTATTAATTTTATTTTTATTATATTTGATGTATATTAAAAAATAAATCAAAATAAAACTAGAATTAAATAAAAACGTAATACTTTTCTCATAATCAACTTTGAACAAGATTACAATAAACAATAAGTTATAAGTGTCTAATTATGCGGAATAATATAATTCAATTATTGACTTGAATTCAACTTATTGTCATGATTTAACAGTAAAGAAGGGTAAATTAAATTAAATTAATCCAATGAAAATTTCATTAAACTTACCATTTACTTTACTGGTTACTTATTCCAAATATTTTCAACTCGTGGGTAGAAATTTAATTGAGTGGAGAAGAAATATGAAAAAAAGGTTATTAAAAAGTAAATATATGAAAAATAGTTGTCGGAATTTATAGTTCTCTTTTATTTATTTATTTATTTTTTGGGGAAGGAGACATTTCAGTTACTTCCCCTCCACATACGGAGAAAAAGAATAAAGAGGAGCACGAATTATCTTTAGCGTTTCCCATATCTTCTCCTCCTCCACCTTAAATCTCCTTATTACTCCCTCCAAAACTCACCTCAGGCAACCATGCTTATAAACTTCTCGTCCTCTCCACCTTCTTCTTCTTCTTCTTCTTCTTCTTCTTCTTCTTCTCTTCTTAGACTAATCAGTTCAAATTCACCCTCCTCAGAGTTCCCACTAAAGCCCAAGACTTTTGTCTTCTCAAAATCTCTCTCTTCTTCCCTTTCTTATTCGTTTCCTTTATCAAACTGCAGTTTTCGTTGTAAAAATCATTTGTTATTTGGAAAGAGCAGATACCCAGCTGGGAAAAAGCTTGATTTCAGGTCATGGGCTATTCCTGCTCTCGATTGGGGGAATTTCGAAAGTGCTCAGTCTGTTTTGGAAGCAGCTGCCGTGTTAACAGCCATTATTGTTGTTCACGAGAGTGGTCATTTCCTTGCCGCTTATCTACAAGGAATCCATGTAAGTAAATTTGCAGTTGGGTTTGGTCCAATCTTAGCTAAATTCAACGCTAACAATGTAGAGTATTCTATTAGAGCTTTTCCTCTTGGTGGTTTTGTTGGATTCCCTGATAATGACCCTGATAGCGATATTCCTGTTGATGATGAGAATTTGCTTAAGAATAGGCCGATATTAGATAGAGTGATTGTGGTCTCGGCCGGCGTCATCGCCAACATAATATTTGCGTATTTAATCATTTTCACGCAAGTCTTATCAGTTGGGTTGCCAGTGCAAGAAGCCTTTCCTGGGGTGCTTGTGCCCGAGGTTCGACCCTTCTCTGCTGCTTCCCGTGATGGATTACTTCCCGGAGATGTAATCCTCGCGGTGAATGGCTCCAATTTGCCGAAAACAGGACCTACTGCGATTTCCGAGATTGTTGATGTCATCAAGAGAAGTCCAAAAAAAAATGTGTTGCTCAAGGTTGCCAGGGGAAATCAAGATTTTGATATTGGTGTTATCCCAGATGAGAATTTTGATGGCACTGGAAAAATTGGGGTTCAATTATCTCCAAATCTGAAGTTTTCAAAGGTTAAACCCAAAAACGTAGTGGAGACTTTTCAGTATACTGGGAAGGAATTTTTGGGTCTGTCATCTAATGTTCTTGATGGCTTGAAACAGGCCTTTCTGAATTTTTCTAAATCTGCTAGTAAGGTTTCAGGTCCTGTTGCTATTATTGCTGTTGGTGCCGAAGTCGCCAGATCCAACATAGATGGCCTTTACCAGTTTGCAGCTGTGCTGAATCTTAATCTTGCAGTGATCAACCTTCTTCCTTTACCTGCATTGGATGGTGGAACATTGGCATTGATCCTCGTGGAGGCAGCTAGAGGTGGGAGGAAGCTTCCTTTAGAACTAGAGCAGCGGATTATGTCGTCAGGAATTATGCTTGTTATACTCCTGGGGCTATTCCTTATTGTCAGGGATACGCTTAACCTCGATTTTATTAGAGATATGTTATGATTATTTGCAAGGCAGATGAAGTTCATTCAGTAAATCTGGAGCCAGGTCAATCTGAAGGCCTGTGGTGTCTTGCAAAGGGGATAGAGTGAGTTGATTGTGAATATTGAGAATGTGATGGTTACTTCTACCAAGCCACTATCTAGCAGGTACCTGTAGCTTCTTTTTTTCCCCATTTGCTCCATTGGCTGTTTATATATTCTCTACAGCACTGTAAACTCTTAATTCTTTGGTGATATTAATAGCTATACTGCAAGGGATTTTGGTTTCCAGTGTCAACTTTTCCACAAATGAAGATCTATGTGATGCATACTGTTAAGAATGCCTTTGAAAATTGAGGATATTTGCTAGTATGAATTTGAATTGTCTTGAAAATAAGTGTTACTGTGGAAAGAAGGGAAAACTGCAGGTACCATCTATGATTTACCAAAAGCTATGTCACTTGAAAATTTTCATCTACACAAGCTCATAGTCAGAAAATTGATCTTTTTAAAATTTAAGAGCTAGAATGCTCACAATATACTGGTATGTAATGGATCTGCAAAGTTATTAAAATAAGAGCTGATTTGTCACCATTGATGGCTGACCAAGAATTCTTTGGTGAAGGTGAGAGTATTTACAAACGGTAATATTCTTTGAAGGACAAATGAGTGTGAGTAAATTCTTCAACCTACAGGGAGACTTAATGTATTTTATTCTTTTATTACAGTTAGATATAATTGACGTTTGTTATCATCTGCTGACTTTTTGTCAATTGATTAAGAAGTTCATATGCTTCGCGGTTAACATGCTTAGTCCATTATAATTATGGCCCTTGTTTCTGGAAATTCGCGGTTAAGTGAATCTATGTTGACACCAAAAGAAATTCTTAGAAAAGTGAAACTTGATTGCCAGAGGATATTGATTGCAATAGATATCATCGGAAACCAAGTAACTTTAGGGGATAAAAGAGCAAGAGGATATGAAAGGTGGTCTGGGTTTTATTGTGGTAAGAAGTGTAGCTGAGGTTAGCTACTGAAATAACTGGGCGCTTGAGGGCAGGGTTTCAGTAGAATAGAAAGTTTACCTTTTCTACGATGTTGTCTTACTGTCTGTTTCGGATGAATTTATTTTGTTCTTTTACTTTTATAATTATGGATGGTGTTGTTTTATTCTAGTACGTCGCTATGAGTTGTGGTGAAATTAGTAATTTAACGATGGACAAAGGAGAAAAAGGGCAAAGAAAGGTAGTCCCGGTTTCTGGTAGTACGGTGCATAGCTGAGTTAAGCACACACTGAAATAACTGGATGTTGAGGGTGATTTTTTTGGGTGAATGTTTTACCTATTCTTTGATAACACAGTATCATCTTTTTCCCTGATTACATTGTTTCTTTGATGTTTATTGTTGTACTTGGTGTTTTTCCCCCCGTAATACAACATGGTAAAAATAGCAAAGCTTTTGATTAAGTTAAGTAAAGAAACTTTAGCAGCTGCTTGACTTAAGCAGAAGTTGGTACTTATGCCCAAGGAAGCACAAAATGTTGATTTACATAATTGGGTTGTAGGAAAATTCAGAATTACTTGCTAGTTTCATTTCCCTCTAGAAACTCATCTCTTGGTATATGATCTCATTAACTAAGTTGGTAGCGTTTTGGTATCGCTGCTTTCTCTTGTTTGGAAGATTTCCATGTCTTCCTCTATGATACCATGCTTGCATTTGAATTTCTGAAACAGTAAAAGTTCTTGCAGCACATATGACCATGAATTGGCATGTCTCAGAGAAAAACCTTAAAGACCTTTATCTATATCTGTCTGACTCTGGAACTCTACCAAGAATATTCATTTTACTGGGAATAAGTGGAACTAATAGCTTTTATCCATCTTCATTATTAATGCATTTTTGCTAGAGGTTTCAAGTTACATCCACTTATGGCGCTAAATAGTGTTCTGATTTCTGTGCTTTGATGCACCTATAGACCCATTAACCAGGTGTTTCGTGTTTTTTTTTTTTTTTTTTTATATTGGACAAGCAGGTAACAGATATGGACATATTTCATTTGGTTGGCATGGGTGTATTCCTCAGATTCTGTATTATTGTATTGATGCTGTTTTAAAGAAGTGAAATTTATATGCTTTATGTATGTTGTAAATGAACTTACCAAGGGGAAGCTTTAGGCTGGGAAAACATTGTTCCCACACACAGAAGACTGAAGAAGACGTTCTGCACATATTCATCATATATATATATATATATATTCTTGACATATAATTAAATTTCTTTTGAGAATAATAAAATTTAATTTACATATAAACAAAAACTTATTATTTATTGGTTGAATTATAGGTAAATTTACAAATAAATAATTATAGAAAATACATATGCCTTTGATTTATAGAAGGAAAAAATGAATATAAAAATTTATTGTATCATGTTTAGAAATTTGAAATGATTTATTTATTATATCCATATATAATGTAATACATTTAAGAATTAATTACATTAGCTTTGAAAGAAAGGATTGAATAAATTAAAAAAAAAAAAAAAAGGAAAAGAGGAAAAGAACAAAATTGAATTAAAAGCTCTTCATTCACTGCTAAAACTAGCCAGTAACATTATTGACAAGATAAACTTACGTTACAATGACGATATAATAAGATTATTTATTTATTTCTTATCAAATATAGATAAATACAAAAACTTATTATTTAACACACAAAAAATATTTTTGATGGGTTTTGAGCATTTTCCTTCCTTTAAAAAGTAATCAATAATTGAAGCTTAGTAATTTGTGAAATAGAGTCATGCAAATTGGGCTTGTAGGAGAGGGATTGGCCTGAAATTTTGGGAGAGGAAAATTATATAATTATATATATAATAATAGTGTTTG